AGGTGTCTGGGGCCACACCTCACCCACAGCCCCGGGGCAGGCCGGGGCGGGTCCCCACGCATGCCCAGCCCCACTGCCTCATTACCTGGAGCCCGGGCAGCACCGACTCCCACAGCTGGTGCCTTAGCCGACGGAGTGCAGGGAACGCGGAGCCCTGTCCCTGCCTCCGCATAGGGGAGACAGGTGAGCACCCTGTGCAGTCAGACCCGGCCCTGCTGGGCGTCCACTCTCCCTCCGGGGGGTGTTCGGCCAGGAACCTGGGATCCTGAGAGAGCTGCCGGGAGTCCAATCTTCGAGGTGAGACAGGCCATGTGGACTAAGGAGAAGTGAGTGGCGTGGGCCACCGTGTGGGGGGATCAGAGAGGCCCATGCGGATGCAGCTCCTGGGTGGGCTGCTGGCGTGGCACGCTCCAGCCGGGGTGGCCGGGACGCTGGGTTCTGGAGGAGGTGCTGCTCCTCTCCCAGCTGGGGCCTTTTAGGATCTGGGGAATGTTGGGGCAACGCCCTGCCCTGAAATCCTCTGCTGTGTTCCAGGAGATAGGGTCTCCCCTCGCACCCGGGGCGGAGAGAAGCAAGAACTGGAAGAAGGAATGGGGAGGGCGGCCGGCGGGGGGGTCAGGAGTGTGCAAAGCAGGAGTCCTGGGGCTCTGATTGGTTTGCTCATCCTGGTAAGCGCCTGGCCCAGGGAATAGAAACTGGAGCCCGAAGGCGACTCTGTGTTGTTCTCGATGTGATGAGATGTGTGGGCTTAGCAGGCAAGTAAATTACAGTCAGGTGCCCAGCCTCAGGAGCCGGTGAGTCCTGCCCAGCAAGGAGGGCACCTGCGTCCTCACCCAGTCCGGCCACAGCCCGTGATGCACACTGTGTCTCTGTTGCAGGGCGGTTTGGTGGAGCAGGGCCTCTCTGGGGCTGATGCGTTCCCTAAGGTCCCCACTGTCTCCTGGGTGAGCTCGAGGGGCGCGGCCGCCCCACGGGGACCATGTCAGAGATGCTCCTGCTCAGGTCTGCCAACTCCATCCTGAGGACCGTGTAAGGAACAGGGACCCCATCCTCCTCCCAGGGAGAGTACCCGGGCCACGTGGCACCTGGACCCCCAGTCTTGGGTTTGGGGGTTTCCATTCCACTGAGTCACCCTCCCAATCATACCCAAGAACTTTCTTCTCCTTGCTCCCCAAAAGACCCATGACAGCCCCCCAGCAATATGTGAGAGCCACTGAGCACTGAGCACTAAGCACTTTGCAGGTATCCTGTATCCTCACCACAGACACGGGGCTGACGCAGAGCACCGAGGCTCCAAGAGGTACGGTGACTTGCCCAGGGTCACACAGCTAGTGGAGCTGAACCCAGATGGGCCAATTCTGGTGAGCCTCAGAAAGCATTTATTGAGCACTTATAGCATACAGCACAGTGGCCTGACTGGTAAAAGGGAAGAAAGACAACAAAATAACTAGGAGATGGACGCCCCCTCCAGGAGGGGCTCCCATGGAAAAGGAGGGCTCCTCTTGGCTTGTGGGTCACACACATGGTGAAAACTTGAGGAGGATGTTTCCTGAGCTCCAACTGTGCACCTTAGGGCATCTCAGGGCCAGAGGACAGACAGACTCAGGGAGCTTACCAAGCCGCGTGCGGCATTCAAGGCCCAAACCGGAGTGTCCAAAGGCCGTGAGAGTGAAAAGGTGTCGGGGATAATCCCCGAGGGCTTTCTGAAGGAGGAGCTGAATGAGGCTCAGTAGGCTCTGTCCTCAAATGGTCCCCTTCAGCTCCTCGGGCAAGACAGGAGGACAAAGGAGAGACCAATTGACCAGAGACGGTTAGGAGAGGGAGTGCAGGCTCTCCCAGCCCCCTCCGCCCGTCCCACGCACCTCAGCTCACAGTATATTCGCACACACAGGCTCTTCAAGAGCTTCCTCGCTCCCTGAGCGACCGGACAGGTGCTAAGCACATTTGGTTTCTGTGCAAGACGAGTAAGGCAAGGTGCTTATGGGGTACGTGCGAGCAGGAGGAGTTTAGTTTTCCAGAAGGACAGGAATACTGTGCTCATCCCCTTTGACAGGCGCTGGTCCTGATCACGGTGGTCCCACCTCACCTGCTGGTCCCTCGCCGGCCCCCGAGGCCGCCCCGAACAGTGGCAGGAGTCAGAGGGGCGTGGGAGGGGTCAGGGCAGTTGCGGTGGCTCCCCTTGGAGGACACTGGGAAAGCCAGGTCCCCGGGCTCGCTCCCCAGGCCGAAGAGGCCGGCTTGTCCAGCGTTGGTCTCTCAGCCCCCCAGCCACTGCACAGAGGGGGCGGGTGCGTGGCTGGAGGCCCCCCCCCGGCAGCTGCAGGAGCGCGGGCGAGGGCGAGCACTGAAGCGGGCGTCGCGGCACCCCCGCCCGGACACGGGGCAGCAGGCCCGCGGGGAGGGCACGGGCCCCAGCACCACGCAGCGTGGCCCCCTTCCCTTCTGTGTCACGAGCCGGGCCAGACGTCAGTCCCTGGTTGTGACCTCGGGAGCAGCCACATGTCACAGGGAGGTCCTGCAAAGTCTGTTTCAGACGGTGGGCGAGGGCGCCGTCCCCTTCCAGGATGCTGACCTCTCTTAATGAGGCATCCAGCCTTCTGCGGCTCAGGGCTCCACGTGGGCCATGCACGGGGTAAGCGCGGTGTCCCTGTCACAGTCCCCAGAGGAGGACCGGCTCTCCCCTGTGACCCCGGACGGGGGGCGACCGCAGTGCGTCTGAGCAGGATGAGCTCGCTTGGCCCCCGGCTTCCTTAGGCAGCTGTCTTTTCGTTTCGTCTGTATTTAGCTTTTTTGAAACCAGAAGCAGTTGACACACATTTTTATCAGGTGCAGGACATGCTGCTGGTACTTTCTGATGCTGGGGATTTAAAGCAGACTCATCTGGCGGGCTGTCGCAGCCCACCATGGCCTCCGCCAATCTGGGGGCGGCGATTCCGGAGGCCAGTCTGCTGTAGGCGCCTTTGAGGACACAGCCAGCAGAGTGTGGAGCCTGCACCAAGTTCACTGTCCCCACTCAGGGACTCCCAGTGGGGCACCCTCGGCCCACGTGTGTGCGTGTCCCACATTCGCCCACTAATTCTATCGTCTGCGCCCAGAGCTCTGGGGCCATTTGGTACCAGCACGGCTGTCTCTGTCCCAAAACAGATGCAGCGTCCACTCTGCGACCCAAGCGAGTCATGGCGGCGGCCAGCGCCCCAAAGTCAGCAGGACGAGTCCCACGCACTCAGAACCCTCTGCCTGGCACAGGGGCCCCTTGGTCCCTGTGCCAGACAGAGGAGCCCTGCTCACAAAGTTCCTAGGAAGGGGACCGACTTGCCCCCACGCGCCCCCCTTCTCCCCAGGCCCCTCCCTTCATAACCTCCTGATGTCTTTCGTTTTAAAACCTATCTCAGGTTCTTAAGCAGACTGCTGCCAGGTGGGCCTGGGTGCGCTCGCAAACTTAGTTTGAACCTGTGGTACCAGCAAGGAATAAGGCCGAATGTGACAAGCAGGTAACTGGCCCAACAGCCTGGGAAGTGGGCAGGGATGGGACTAGCCCCACCCTGACAGACGGATGGGACTCCCTGGAGCCAGGGTCCTGCCCTCGGGGCTGCCATGACCAGCTGCACAGGTTGCACACTGCACAACTCCAGTAGGCTCTGTTTACATACTGGTGAGTGTGAAATATGCCTGTGGAGTTGTGTAAGGCCGTAGTCCTGCTTGACTCTGGTGCATGTACTGAACTCCATCCGCTCATCACACAGGACGTTGAGGTCTGGCCAATTGAACCCTGAGGAGAAATGGTGCCAAGGATCGGTTGACAACAGAGACCCCATAACCCCTTGCGCTATCCAGCTGGAAGGGGAGATCCATTGTCTAGGGCCACCATGCCTGGGAAGCGAGGAGGATCTGGGCCAGGGGCAAAGGGGTGGAGGCAGATGGCCTGAGCCCCAGATCTCTCTGGCCCCACACCTGTCCTCTCCATGGGGGAATAGGCTAGGGCCTCCCACAGGCTCCCTTGGGGAGGAGAAGTCCTCACTGGGGTCTGCATAGGACGCGTGGGAGCCCTAGAAATGTCCTCAGCTCCACTCTGAGCTTCTGAGCATGACTGTTTCCACTGTTTGAGGCCCAGGGGGTGTGGGAGTGAGGAGGAGGGGCTCCACTGGAGTTGTGCCCAGAACCGGCCAGTGCTGAACCCCCAAGCCTTTCCTTGTCCAGATGGGGACACTGAGTCCAGAGAGAGCTGTACCGTTGCCCAGAGTCACACGACAAACTAGAGCAGAGCAGGGCTGAGCGCTGAGAACCTGCAGGGAGAGCCTGGGTGGGGTGAGGTTAGCCTGCGGCTGTGAGGGCTTATCCCCTGACCCCCACCGGGAGGCAGAGACGCCCGTGTCACCCCCGGGGTGCCCAGATGTGTGCCAGGCCAGGCCCGAGGGTCTCACGTTGTTTCTCCCCTCCCCACCAGCTCCCTGACTGATGGGCAGACGCTCTCCAAAGAGTCCCTAAGCCATGCTCTCGCACTCTCGTCCCCAGAGAAGGAGAAGGATGCCCAGCTGGATGGGTCAGGTGAGCCGGCCGGGAGGCTGCGGGCTGCGCCAGGGTGCTGGAGGGCCGCGGGCAGCACCCAGGCAGAGGCCAGCTGGGGGAGCCACAGGACAGGACTTGGGGGCCGCAGCAGGTAGAAATCCCTCCGGTCGCCACGTCCCCAGGGACCCCACCACTCCCCTTTCCTTATGGCCGCGTCAGGGCCAAGCCTGACGGAAGGCAGTGAGTGGTGGGGAGGACGGAGGCAGGGAGGCAGCCGGGGCCTCTGGACGGGTGGAGGCCCCAGGGAGCAAGGCCGGGCGCTCCCAGCCTGGTTGCCTGGGGCGAGGTGCCAGTCGGGGGGCTGGAAGTGGGCAGAGTGTGTGGGAGGCTTGCAAAGACGTTCGCCCTCAGACAGTGGCCCCAGGAGGGCTGCGGAGCTATATCATTTACCCCGAAGAGTCATCAGAGTGATAGCAGCCACATAGCTTCCTTCCTTTTTATTGGCTATCGGACGACATTGTAGCAACAACGCAAGTCAAACAAAAACTGAAACAGTAAGTGCCTGGGGCAGGGGTCGCCGCCTCCGGGGTCTGCGCTGTCCTTGGGGTGGCACATCCTGTGTCGCCTGCCCCGGGGTGCGGACCCTCCCCGCCAGGAGGTCCTGGGAGCAGAGACTCCCCAGACCGCCCCCTCGCTCGGGTGTCTGGGGGGAAGCGTTTGAACTCGGCGCGTCTTTGGCAGAATGTCCTTCAGTTTGGGTCCGCCTGGGGTCTTCCTCGTGGTTAGACTAGGTCTGGGATTTGGGGAGCAAGTGGTAGTGCTTGAGCTGGAACTAGCTGGGGAGGTCATTTCTTCAGGTCCCTGCGCAGGGCCGAGGGGTGGGCGGAGCCGGCAACAGGACAAGGGGAGGCCCCGGCCTGGCTTTCTGGGTTGGAGGACAGACGCAGCGTCAAGGCAAAGGTCACCGTGCCCACTAGAAGAGATGCCGAGAGGTGTAAAGAGGGCAGGCTCCCCGGGGAGCAAGTGCCGGTGACCTCCCCAGTGGGGCAGGCGCCACCATCAGACAAGCCGCCCCTCTCCCGCGCTGGACGTCTTGGGCTAAGGAGCTGCTGGGGACCACTGCTGTCAGCAGGCGCATGGCAGAGCTGCCCCGGGGACGTCAGCCCTGCCGGGGCGCTGTCCAGCCGGCCTCGTGAGCCCCACGGGGCTGGCATGAGTGTCATGCTCTGCCCAGCTTCTCCTGTTCAGCCCCGGGGACTCTGGGGCACGGCCGAGGTGAGATCTGAGTCCAGCCGGGACCGAGCACCCGCCACATGCCAGCCTGGTGCCGGGGCTTGTTCTCGAGACCCCCCTGCGGGGCCGGGAGCCAGGCCTCCAGGCTCCGCGGGGAAGGAGGTAGGAAGGAGTCTTGCGGCTGCCCTGTCCCGAAGCGCGCTCCGTAGGATCGGGAGAAGGCCCCCGTCCCCGTGGAAGACTGTAGGGAGGGGGCTGGAGGGCAGTGAGAGGGGTTCAATCCTCCTTCCCCACCCGGCTGCCCCCTGTGAACGTTTACCCCGTGCCGGGCTTTGTGCTGAGGGGTTTGCAGTCTTTCATGTTGTCTTCAGAACCCCACCGAGCTCAGAGAGGTTCAGTCCCACCGCCAGAGGAAGTGGAACTCCTGGCTGGCCACGCTGACTCTTTGGGCCCTGGGTAGCAGTGCGGTCCCCTCCGGGCCTGGCGAGCCCCGGCCTGCCCTCCCGTGAACCACTGAGCTGGCAGCCCCTCTGGGGAGCTCTGGGAGGCCTGCCTTCCACAGTCAGCATCCACCTGGGCCTCCCTGAGTTCCCAGAACCTTGAGGGTCCTCAAGCTCCTGTCCCCAGGCCAGGCTCTGAGCTAGCGGGCAGGCCCACTGAATCTGACCACACAAAGTCAGCCTTGCGCCGGGCCCTGGAGACACAGTTCTTTCTAGCTCTTTCTAGCTGAGCATGAACCCCAGCTGGAGCAGGGCAAGGCAACACCGCAGGGAAGGGGAGGGGGTCCAGGGAGGGCAGCTGCTGGAGATGGGGCTGGCCAGGGCCTGCCCCCCACGCTCACTCTTCCCAGCAGACTCTTACACCCACCAGGGAGCTCTGACGTGGGCGTTTCTAGCCCCATGAGGCCCGCGGTTGGGTCAAGGGCTGCACGGGGCCTCCCTCTGTCCCTCACTCCCACCCTTCCCAAATGCTTCGAAGGCATGGCTGCTCTTTGGCTGGAAGGAGACAGATACCACCCGTGTCCTGGGGAGCTCACAGCCTGAGGCTGGGGAGCAGGGTGGGGACAGTGGGAGACAGAGGCCCCCACTGTCGCTTCAGCCTCTGGTGGGGGTGGGAGTGGGGAAGGTAGGACAGATTTCACCCCGAGAACAGAGGAAATTCATGTAGACAGCTCCTAACCTGAGAAATGGGAGCGAGTGGGAACCCCAGCCTCACCAGCCAAAAAAAGTGGGGATCCTTGTACAAACTTTTTCTAATCAAATGTCCAAGTTAAGTTATGAGTGTGTATTAGATGCTTCCCTGGGCCCAGAGTGGCTCGTGTCTGATGTAGTTTTGGAATATAGGGGAGGTTGGTGGGGTCTGGAGCCCACGCCAAGAAAGAACTCTTGAGATGTCTTCAGGGCAAAATGGTGGTTTTATTAAAGCCCGGGGACAGGACCCGTGGGCAGAAAGAGCTGCTGCCCCGGGCTTGTGAGCGGTGGCTGAGTACGTACTTGTCCAGGCCCAGCGTTGCTCATGTCTATCCCTGGGGTGCTGACAGGGTGTGTGTACAAGGGAGGGGCCCGGAGGCCGGGCTCATGCCCAAAATGACATGAAAACCACCTTGGGCACCTGGGGACCGGCCCCAGGGGTGCCCCTGAAGGGGGTGCCGGCAGAGGGAAGCAGAGCTCTGCGGGGCAGGTGGAGACGGGCTCCGGGGTCCGTGTGCGTTTCCTGCGCACGCCCACCGCAGGGCGGGCAATGCCCATCTCAGCGCCCCCACTGCCATGGTCCAGGCCTGGACAAGTGGAATTCTGGGGGTAGAACATAAAAGCTAAAACAGTGACCCCGGGGGGGCCCACAGAGACCATCTTGTCCCTCCCTCCCGATTGTGATTCAGATGGGGACACTGAGGTCCAGGGGGGGGTCTCCCCAGGCTTTCTTTGCTGAGTGGCCACAACCCAGAGCTCCTAACCCTCGGGCAAGAAGGCTGGTGAGTGGCCAGCAGGTGGAGCGGGTCTCTCCCACCTCAGACACAGTGGAGCCAAAGTCACATTCTGGCACATTCTGTACAAGGTCTGGACAAACTGTTCTGTCCCAGGCAGGCCTTATCCTTATCTCGAGTCCTGTTCTGAGGCCGCCATGGCCTCTTCCCCTTAAATATCCCCACGAGTGCCTGGCACAGGTCTGAGCAGTGTCCAAGGGCCGCAGCAAAGGGTCCCTGTGCGCAGAGGGAGCGTCCTGGCCCCCATCCAGGCTGGCCTCGGCAGCGGGGGCTTCGGGGTCCGGCGCTGGCAGGAGCATCTTGGAGGCAGATCTGTCCCAGGCCTGAGAGCACCTGCCACCCCAGGCCCATGCATCCCTCCAGCTGCAATAGGCTCCTTCTCGGCCATTCCCACGGCAGCAGTAAATGCCCCCGGGCTTCTCCTCCCCCCCACTGCCCTCGCCCCTGTTTTTCCTCCTTCCCAGCCAATTGAGAGTGATTTCCTCTGCTGTTCAGAAGCCTTGATCCCAGAGCCCCAAGGACAGCAGCTCCCAGCCTGCCGGGCCGCCCCCAGCATAATGGGTGATTGACAAGACCCAGGCCAGGGTCAGGCCAAGACCGGTGGCCATATGAACAAGAGAAGGCGAGGAGACGGGGGCCGGGCCTTGGGAAAGCCCACCCGGGCCCTGAGCTGGCATGGTCTCGTGTGTTCTGGGGGCTGGCGGTCGGCCGCAGACTGCTAGCTGGGTTGGGATCGTGGGCGCCTTCCTGGGTGACAGGGACCTCGGCTGGGTCCTGGCTGTGTTCTGCTGCTACTGAAGCCGTGAGCTTGGTTGGGCACGGCGGATCTGCGTCCCTGTTGAATGTCAAGGTGGGGTCGGGGACATTTTAAAGGGCTGGCAACCCATCCCGATTTCTATGTCTCTGCCACCACCCGGGAGCCACCCCTCGGAGCGGCAGGCGGAGGGGCACCCCCAGCTCATGGGCCCTCCCTCCTGCTTGGGTCTGGCCGAGGGCCAGGCTCCTCCCCCAACCCCATCCCCAAGGGAATGGACCCTGGACCCTCACGCCCACACCCCATTCGGCTGCTGGGACTGACTGAGGCCTGGTCCCACTGTTGCCCCTGACCTGCTGTGACCTTGGCCATCCCTCACGCCGCCGATGGGCCGCGTGTGGGAATTCCCGGCCACTTCTCCGCTCATCCGTCCGTATCCTGGCAGGCGCCACAGGCTTAGCCAAGTGCAGTGGTTGTGCGGGCTCAGAGTCTGTCCGGAGAGAAGGAAGGAGGGTTTCGGGAGTGCCCGCTGTGTGGGGATCCCAGATGCAGACGGTTTCCGCTCTGCCTGCGAGCTGACACCACGCTCCACCCGATGCCCTCCTGCGGGCATTTCCTTGTCATTAAACTCTTTAAAACTTTATTTTCATGACCGCTTAGCATCCACGGTGTGGCTCCCTCTGAAGCATTTACCAGTGCCCTGCTGGGGACACTGGGTCGTTTCTAGTGACTGTGCTCATAGAAACAGAGCCATGGAGCGATGGGCCTCCGGGCTCCCAGTGTCCGGCCCTCTGCTCCGTTCCCACGGGCTCTTCCTGCCAGTGTGGTTGCTGCTCCAAGGGGACTCCTTTTTGAAGCCCTTTGGTATAGTTGGTTGCAATGTTTTGTTTTGTTTTGTTTT